TTGATGGACGTAATTGCATAGTTTAAATAAAAACGACCATATTTTTCAAAACTTGATAAAGATTTCAAATAATAGATACGCACAAATATATTATAAAGGATTTTCAACATAATAAGAAAATAAAAGCGAAAAAGAGAAAAAAAAATAAAAATAAAATAGTAAGATGATATAAATATTACGAATTAAAAGAATTTGAGAAGTATGATAAAAGTGAAGACTCACATGTTACGTATTTGGAAATTGGTAATTAATGATATTGAAATCAAATTTCAAACACTATCTAAAAAATGAAACGATGTTTTTTTTTTTATAAAAAAAATTATGAATCAATTTTAAAACATTATCCACATTAAGAAAGCAAAGCAGAGGAAATCTATGTTTCAAAAGATCTGTTCTCACTAAATCCCTAAGTCCATTTCCATTTTATGTTCTAGTACTTAAAGGTAAATTCCCCATCCCCATCACTCTGAACAGCTTTGATTTTAAGGTTAAGTTAGTTTTCCACCAGGTTCTTAAAGTGCACAAAAGCATCATGAACTTCAGACATCTTAATATAAAAGTATATCCAAGTAAATCTAGTACAATGATCAACAAAGCACACATAGTAATGAGAGTTGGCTGGATATGTTATGGGAGAAGGCCCCCACACATTAGTGTGAATAAGTTCCAGAGGACAAGAATATTCAGAAGTCAGAATCATTAAAAGGTAATGCATGAGATTTTGCTTGAAGGCATGAATTGCATAGAAATTTTTCATTGATCAAGAAGGGAACATTACAACTTTTCATCACTTTGGTCACTACATTAATGGCTGCATGCCCTAATCAAGAAAGCCACAAGGATAAGTTGGCAGTTTTATTGCTAGAAACTAGATAAGCTCTTGGATTTGCATCTTGGTTTTTGACTGAGGTAGAAGCTGAGGTTGATTTAGCTGGTGTGTGTATTTGAGCATCAAACAAGTAAAGGCCTTCTTTAAGACATCCTTTGAGAAGAACTTGGTGAGTTACGTGATCATTGATAAGACAAAAGGAAGGGTGAAATTCAAAATAAACATGATTATCATTGGCAAACTGAGATACACTCACTAAGTTCTTTGTTATGGCAGGGACATGAAAAAGATTAGATAAAACAAGAAGCTTTGAGTTTAAGTTGGATTTGAGGTAAAAGTTGCCAATATAATAGATATGTAAACCTGTTCCATTATCAATCTGAAGTTTGTTGGTGCCAAGATAATCTGAGGCAAGGTTGAGATTTGCTAGCTCATTAGTGACATGGTTAGAGGCACCAGAATCTGCAAACCAGCTCATTTCTGAAGTAGTGTCACTGGTTGGGGCAATGAAGTGTGCAGTGGGCTGGTTTATGGCAGCTTGAGCTACTTGAGCTTGCATGATAGTTGGCCCAGGATACGAGGAATCAAACCTGTGATAGCACTTGTATGCAGTGTGGTTGGTTAATCCACAAACTTGACATGCAGGTTTAGAGTTCCCTCTATAGGACCTGCCACCTCTTCCTCTGAAATTTCTGCCTCTTCGTCTTGGTGAGAAATTGTTGGATCTGTTGAAGGGAGTCTGATTCTGGTTGTTACCAGAGGCTTTGTTGAAGTTGTTGTTGGTTCCTCCTTGGGTAGCAAAATGAGCAGAAGAATTTGAGCCATCAACATTAACTGAGGGTAAAGAGGTGTAGTCCACCCTTGACTCCAAACTCAGCAGCATAGCATATACTTCATTAAGAGTGTAGGGTTCAATTCTAGTAGTAACTGCAACTACAACTGGATTGTATTATGCTCCAAGGCCTCCAAGTATGTCCAAGATGTGGTTGGCTTCACTCACTGGCTCACCCGCAGTTCCAAGAGCATCACAACAGGCTTTCACTTGAGACAAGAAATCTCTCATTGGCATATTGCCTTTCCTCAAAGTTTGAAGCTGTAGTTTGAACTGCATCAGCCTAGCTTTGGAATGACCTAAGAAATTAGACTCAAGAGCTTGCCAAATTTCTTGAGATGAATTTTTTCCAACCATCATGATGAGGAGATTTTTAGAGAGAGAGATCAACAACCATGAGGCAAGTAGTTGATCTTGCCTTATCCAGTTTGTATAGTCTGGATTTGCTTGGATCTGGCCATTTTCTTTAGAGATAGTGGTTTGAGGAGGTGTGTGGATCTCGTTTGAGATAAAGTTTTCCAAGCCATAACCCTTGATAGTGGTTAGCACTTGTTGTTTCCACAAAAGATAGTTTGAATCTGTGAGTTTCAATGAAACCAGCTGAATCAGGTTATTTGAGTTGTTGTTTGAGGCTAGGGGAAGTGATGTTTGGCTTGAAGAGGAATATGCCATAATGGCAGATCAAATCAGAACAAAAAGCAATAAATGCGAGGATAGAGGGTGTATCAGAGACAAGCTAGGCACTTGCTCTGATACCATGATAAGATTTCATATTTTGCATGAAAAGGAAAAATAGAAAAGCTTGAAGATGAAAGCCACTGCTCTGTATTTCTTGATAAAGACTGCTATGGATGTTACAACATATAAATAGCCTTAGGCAGCCTGAAATCCCTAATCCTATAGCTAATGAACTCTTGCCACGTACATGGAGATGTCATGCACATATCAGGTGCACACCAAACAATATGGACAACTAGCAGTACTATGAAAACAGAAAATGATTCCTAGGTAAACAAAAGTAAATATCCACTAAGCTCTAGAATTAATCACTAACTACAAGGCATGAAAATTAAGTAGTTGTTTTATCAGTATATATTCACCCTAAAACAAATAAAGTTTTGTTGTTCATATATATCAAATTTATGTTATTGTTAGGTTATGTTAGGTGTTACGTTATTCACAGAAATTCTATGGTGCCCAATAGGGCACCATAAGCCATGCCACAGTATGAGGTGGCATGTGATGTGGCTTTATTATTATATCTCTCAATTCCAACATGACATAAATTAAATATTTTTTTAATGATTTTCCCTACCAAAATTAATTAAAACCCTTACACCCCCAAATCATCATAAGTCTGTTTCCCCAAATTCTTCTGCAACTCACGAGTCACGACCTCACTCATCCCCGCGGTTGTTTTCTGGCGAATTGGTTGCCGCGGTTGTCGTCTGCGACGGGGGAGGGAGCTCTGGCTGGACGACACCTTTTTGGGAGTTCGAGCATTTGGGGAAAGGGGGAATTTCGCTGCATAGGGCTTGGTTGCTGGCGAAGCTTCTCGGTCCGCTGGTATGGAGGTGGATGGTGATGAGGCGGGTGAGATTGGCTAGCGGCGATGGGATGGGGTTGCGGAGGTTGTTGGTGGATAGGTCGAGACAGAGGAGGCGGTGGAGCGGGAAAAACCACGCCGCCTGCCTCGGAAAATACGCCGTCGGCCTCGGGAAATACGTCGTCCACGGATGCTGCGAGTTCATGCCGGCGGAGGAGGAGGGGAGCGGGGTCGGCGCTGAGGTGCGCGGCCTGCAACTGCCTCTGGAGTTTTCACATGAAGGTGGTGCGCTGAAAACTTGGGGGAGAGGCTGTGTTTTTCCATTTCAATGATCATGTTTTCAGATAAATTGATTAATTGGGATTAAGAGAGTGATTATTTTATGGGAACATGATATTCTTTTGAAGATTTTTTATTTATTTCTTTCACCATTTAATTTATGCCATGTTGGAATTGAGAGATATAAAAATAATAAAACCACATCACATGCCACCTCATATTGTGGTGTCGGCACCATAGAATTTTTGATGTTATTCACCCTAAAACAGAAAAATAAGGTGAATGATCATCGTATCACTATGCATGATTATGGTACCTCTGTTTGAATATTTAATATTACTTTCATCATTGTTTGATACTAGTTGTGCTGAGGAATTTGAAGTTGTTTTATTTTATCTAATTATTGTTATATACAATAGAAGGGGCACAAAGTGATATATATTGGGAAGGTTTTCCTACAGCAATGAATTGTTGTGTTCTCTATGCACCTTGGATCAACTATTGACGAAATGTACACCCTCACTGGTAAGAGGTGGTCGAATGTAAATTTGGAACCCGACATGTTATGCTATATTGGGCCAAATGGAAAAAAAAAAGTTACTTTGTCCGATAATGAAGATGTGAAAAACGTGATTCTGTTCCATTTGTGTTGGAAAGTAAGTATTGTAAAGATACTTGCCATTGACAAAAATGAAAGACCGAATCATAAAGTTCAATCAATCCCGTTGAACATGAACATGTGATGTTGATTTCTATAACAGTAACAAATTTATTTAATTTGTGCAAAAACTAAATCCATAAGGTATGGGAATAGGAAAACTATACATTAGTTACTGAATGACTAAGATTATACAGATAAATTTTCAATTTCCATTAGAATCGTTATTCATTATAAAATTTATATCACTCACGAGATTAATAATGAGTAAGAAAATGACCATTCATTCATATTATCGTGTAATTCTATCATCCAATTATGTTATTAGTAAATATTATGCTTACTCACATTAATAAATATTAAAAAAAAAGGGAAATTTTTCCTTACCCTTTTCTAGTTTACTCCATCTATATATATGTTGTTACCATAGAGAATTGGTAGCAAATAACACGTTGTAAATACTAATCCTGCTTTTCCCTTGTGTCACCTTTCTTTCTCTCTTTGCCAACAGAGACCCCCCAACACTTCCCACCTTCATAAAATCTGCATCACAATTTACCACATTAATGCACCAGAATAATAATATCAGATTTAAATGCTCACATGTCTAATTCAACTCAATCTTGATCATTTTATAGTTAACAATAATAAAGAAGGAAAGAATAAGCAAAAAATAATGTAGAAAGATGAAAAAGATTTTATTTTTAATGTGCCACACTGCACTACACAGTTTCTTTCCTGGGAGCTCAAAAAATCATCACTATATTCTAAAAAATGGTTAGTTTCTTTCCTGGGAGGTCCAAAAATTTCCACATTTTGCCCAATTCTTTCCCTTTGATTCATTTTTCAGGTTTACATGGCCGCAAATGGCGCAGCTTCAGAGCAACCCAGAGGAGCAAAAATGGCGGAAAACCAGAAGAGCTCGAGCGACGTGGTCATCAGCATGCCCGAGCAAGAAAAAGATTCGAACTTTGCCAGCCCAGATCCTCGGAAACATCAAAATCACAGGCTTTCATGCGATTCACCAAGTAGACTATCAGCCCCACTAAGCTGCCCTTCCTCTGAAATCGCGGATATTAGCCGTAACCCTAATAAGCCTCCCAGAATCCCCAAATCCAAGAGCCTCGCTCGCCGGAAATCGCTCTCCAGGTCAGTTTACTCGAAGCCCAGATCGAGATTTGGCGAACAATCTACGCCCATTGAAGGGGATACATTCGAAAATGACTCACTGTTAGAAAACCAGACCGTCTCTATTCGTAACTCGCCTGATTCGAAAGTTGACAGCGATAGGACATTATTAACTAGTCCGAAAACGCCCCTAATCTCCTCCCCGGGACACGGTCCCGTGGACGAGGATGAAAAGATATACATGAAAGTCAGCAGCAGAAAAAAGCACAAGCACAGGAAAGTGAAAGCCAAGGTCTTGATCGAGTGGCTTCTCTTGCTTTGCGTTGTTGGGTTTTTGGTGATTAGCTTAACTGTGGATAGGCTGCAAAATCTGAGGATTTGGGGTTTGAGGGCTTGGAGGTGGTGTGTGCTTGTCCTGGTGACTTTCAGTGGCTTGCTGTTTACTGATTGGTTTATTCATTTTGTGGTCCTTTTGATTGAATTGAACTTTTTGCTCAAGAAAAAGGTTTTGTATTTTGTTTACGGCTTGAAAAAGAGTGTTCGGGTTCTAATTTGGTTGGCTCTAGTGCTCCTCACTTGGGTTTTGCTGATCCGTGAAGGAGTGGAAGGGGTGGTGGGCCGGGCGGCCCGAATCTTGGATGTCATAACGTGGACGTTAACTTCTTTGCTGATTGGTGCATCTTTATGGTTGTTGAAAACTTTGCTCTTAAAGATTTTGGCTTCTTCGTTTCATGTGAACACGTTTTTTGACAGAATTCAAGAATCGACCTTTCATCAGTATGTCCTGTTGACTCTATCGGGTATACCGATTATGAAACAAGCAAATTTGTTGGGGGAGAGTAGTGAAAATGCAGGGGAATTCGGCAACGTTGTGAAAAACAAGAAGGAGAAGAAAGAGAAGAATGTTATTGATATCCATAAACTTCACCGGATGAAGCAGGAGAAGGTCTCGGCCTGGACCATGAAGATGTTAGTAGACACAATATCTACTTCGGGCTTGACCACTTTATCGAACGCGATTGATGAGAGCGTTTATGGAGGGCGTAACGAACATATGGATAAAGAGATTACTAACGAAGAGGAGGCAATTGCAGCTGCTTATCATATTTTTCGAAATGTAGCCCAGCCCGGTTGCAAGTGAGCATTCATGTTCTTGTTTTCTTGACTACAAATTGAGTTTATACTTGGATGAGTTTGTTTTCGTATATGTGATGTGTAATTTGTGTGTGTGTGTGTGTGTGTGCGTGTGCAGGTATATTGATGAACTGGATTTCAGTAGATTCATGACGAGAGAGGAGGTGGAGGTGGTTTTTCCGATGATTGACGTGGCTGAGACCGGGCAGATTGACCGGAAAACGTTGACTGATTGGGTGGTATGAAATAAACTTGTATCCAATCTTTGTTCAATTAGTAAAGACTCTTAAAGAAAATTACATAGTCTTTTTTATTTTTATTTGTTTACTATATGTGCAGGTGAAGGTATACAAAGGCCGAAAAGCACTAGCGCATGCCCTGACCGATACCAAAACAGCAGTGAAGCAATTGAACAAGCTCGTCTCGGGGATTCTAATAATAATTTCGATAGTAATTTGGCTGTTATTGGTCGGAATAGCAACCACCAAAGTGCTCGTTTTTCTCTCCTCACAGCTTGTTCTTGCAGTCTTTGTGTTTGGAAACACTTGCAAAACCATATTCGAAGCTATCATATTCGTGTTCGTAATGCATCCTTTTGATGTGGGTGATCGTTGTGTTATCGATGGTGTTCAGGTAAATATTAACTAAAACCCACCATTCTTAACTGTTTTCAACTTTTACTTTTCTTTTCTAACGAATCATGTTCGTGATCCTTCTTCTATTGTAGATGATTGTGGAGGAGATGAATATATTAACGACTGTCTTCTTGAGATATGACAACGAGAAAATATACTATCCAAACACGGTTTTAGCCATGAAACCCATTAGCAATTTCTACAGAAGCCCGGATATGGGTGATTCGCTCGAGTTCTCCATTGACTTCAAAACGCCTTTGGAGAAAATAGGCGCTTTGAAGTTTAAAATCAAACAGTGGGTTAATCAACCTTTACTTATTTACTTAGTTTTCGTGCGTAATGTTATCCTTACAGATTTTACGAGCATAAACTTATCGTTTGACAGGTACTTAGAGAATAATCCCCAGCACTGGCATCCTAATCACAGTGTGGTTGTGAAGGAGATTGAGAATGTGAACAAGATCAAGATGGCTTTGTTTATCAATCACACAATGAACTTTCAAGATTTTTCCGAGAAGAGCAGACGCAGAACGAGTCTCGTGCTGGAGACGAAGAAAATATTCGAAGAGCTCGATATCAGATACGATCTTCTTCCTCAGGAAATTCGTCTTGTCGAATCCAAAAAGTAGATAGTAAAAATCCATTTACTGAGTTCATATATTCAGAGCTATGTACAACAGTACAAGTGCTCATTTTTTGGCTTGGCTTTCATTTTTTGAAGGGGAAAGAAACAACAGTTCAAGGGTAATTAGAGAATGATATTACTGCCTATTACGTGATATTTCTGCTCTAAAAGATATACGAAAAGTAGTTTAATTATTTTTTTTTTTTCAAAAGTTTAATTT